TCATTCTGGTCAGTTCTTTCCAGTAGCCATGGGGCTGGCTGCAAGAAGCAAAGCGGCCCATGCAAAGAGAACAGAGGTCACTTTTCAAAACACTTGCATCATTACCCTAAAAATAGGCTGTTATGCATTTTGACAATTGTGCTATCCTACACTCTGAGGGAGTTGGCAACGCATGCGGTATAGTGGAGTGGGAAGAGTTAAGAGACTGGAAGTTAAGACAAGGGTTTTCAAGTCCCAGCTCATCTCACCCCAGTGACCTTGACAGTGTGCTCACTCTCAGAGCCATGGATTGCCTGGAACAAAGCGAAGATTAGGGCCCACGGTCCTTTCCAGGTATAACATGCTACCGTTCTTTAATTTTATTATATATACGTACTTTTTTTCTGTTTTTTTTTTTTTTCTTTAAGAACTAACCCCAATCAAGAGTATTTTCTTTAGCTAGCTTAAAAAGAAAAATATATTTTATATAAAAACACATACATGGCCAAATGCAATACTGAAGAGACAATCATCCTGTATCTTTTGTGGTTTTTCCTGCTTCTGAGTGGTGGTCTACAACGCCACCTGGCGTATTCCATTGGGTTTCTGCTTTGGGGTATGGTTTGGTTGCTTTGGGTTGCCATGGGAAAGAGACATTCTCCTTGCAGCTACCTCCATGTAAGTGAATTCCTGATAAAGCAAGATTTCCTTTCAATAAACACTGTCACCCAATGGGAATTTTGACTCTCCTGTGATTGTGACTTCTTTGTTTTCTCCAGAGCTTGGCTCTGTGTCCTCCAAGAAACTGCCAAGGTGAGTGGCTGGGAGCTACTGAGGGAAGTGGAACTTGGAGGCCTTCCAGCCCTGGGACCAGTTTCTGAAACAGAAGGGTGGGGACTGGTCAGTGGTGAATGCGGAGGGAATTAATGGCCCTGGATTCTTGTGATGTTCTGAGAAATCCAAACTGCCCGTTCCAGAAAATGGCAAAAGAGGGAGCATGTTCGATGTTAATTACAGAATAAACAGGAGCCCCCTGTTTACCGCTTTTTCTAAATTCGAGGTCTTCTGCAATCATAGTTGACCCATAATCTCTCTTGATCTCACACCAGGCCCATAGCAGGCACCACAGTCTCTATTTTACAGAAAGCAAAGCAACTTCCCTATGGAAGGGGACCCACGATGATCATTGTCATCAGATCTGTCTATTGTTTGCCCTGTCCCCCGGAGGGTGACCCGTATAGAACCTGGATTCCCTGATGGCCGCTCTGGTTGGGTTCAGCCAGTGGGAACAGGTGGAATTCTGGGTATGTCTCCATCACTCCCTGCTCTGTGTGGCATTTTCAGGTGCGCTCCCCTGAGGCTTGGGTGATCTTCTCTCCTTTGGCCTCTAGTTCTAAGTGTCGGGGGGTAGTCATGGCTTTCTCTTGCTGTTCCTCAGTCCCTGCCCTGGTGGGTTCCTGCCACACTGCCCACTCACCAGACCAGCCCTTCGTTGAGCCACCTGATGGCTCACTGCTGTATCCTGTCCAGAGCTCTGTACACAACCGCCTCTGCCTCCAGGTCAATGTAGACGACCTTCCCTCCAGCTCTCTGGCAGCACTGATTCTCCTCATTCTAATTGGAAGGGGTAACCTAATGTAAATGAGATTTTCTAATTTTAGTAAGTGCAAAGCCTTTGTGTAGATTGTTTCCTTTTTTTTTTTTTTGTAAAAAGTCAGGTATATTGGTATATTGAGGTACCTAATTTTCTAATTTGTAGTAAAAGTCACCCTTTTTAGCATTATTTACTTTTGTATTTGGGCCTCTGTATTTGGCCCTTCTACCGATGTCCTCTTGGTGGGAATGAGATTCTGAATGGATACCTTTCCCTCAGGTCCTCGGGAAGAATGTGAGTCCGAAGGCCCAGAGCCAAAGCAAAAACGTTCCCCCAGGCCGGCAGTTCATTTCTTTCACATTCTCAGCATTCCTCCTCTGAGCTGGTGGATAGGTAAGGGCAGCCTGTCTTTGTTGGAAGACTGTCATTAGCCAGAAATGTTTCTGTTGTAAATCTTCAAATGATTGGGGAGAAATGACAGCAGGTTCCTCTCAGGGGCGTGACAGCCCCAAATTCAGACATTCTAGGCTGTGCAGAGGGATCCACATGCCTTGGTCCTGCCCTCAAACCTGCCGAATACATAGGACTAAAGACTGTCACTGACTTTCACGGGCATGACTGAGACCCAGCCAGTCTCCATCAACAAAGAAAGGCTAGAGTGTGTGCCCCTCCTGGGTTATGAAAGCTAGAGAAGTGCAGGTCACAGAGACGTTCAGCAGTCAGTTGAATGTGGTGTGGGGCGAAGGTTGCAAGGTTCCCACTGCGCTGGATCTCACTTGTCTCACCACAGTTGTCAACAGCTCCTAGGGGACGGGAAGTGTGATTCCAGAGGTTTGCTGGGTAAATGCAATTAAACGATTTTTGAGGAAAGGCAGAAACTGGTTTTTTGGGAGGTAAGGAAGCCGAGTCTCAGGGAAGTTGGGCATTTTGCCATCAGCCACACATGGAGTGAGTAGACAGCCCACAATTAGCACCTGCCAGTGTGGACCAGGCACGCCGGCGAACAAGGTCTAGGACCTTACGTGCTTACAGTGGGGCTATAAAACTGTTATTAAACTAAATGGAAATGACCTGTCAATATTAAGTCCTTCGTATATTTGTGTGATGCCCAATGTGTCTGTCTTTCCTTGTGCTTTGCCAATCAGACCTCTCGCCCGAGTACTGGGTATTGGGCTGGAGGCTGGAGGCCCAGGCTCAGCAGCAGGGAACTGCCTTCCTGGAGGTGGCAGCATAGTCTCTGCCAAGCCAGGGGAGTGGTCCCAGTGGGAATGGGCTCTGCCTTCCCGTGAGTGGGCAGGAGGCTGACCTGTGTCCAGACAGGAAGAAACCTTGTGGGTCACAGCAAGCTTTGGGACTTACGGGCATGTACAGAGCTCATCTGGAAGGAGGGGGATGCCTCAGCCCCCTGCGTTTCCCGTGAGTAGCAGGGCTACAGCTATGGAAGTAGGACCCAGCCTTTTGATGCAGTGTGTGGTGGGCTGGAGGTGGGAAGGGGTGTGTATGTAGGTGGTGGGTAGTGCCCCTGCCACATGTAGAGATCCTGGGCATCTCTTCTGGACCCCACCTAGGGACTGTACACCTTTACTATGGGAACAGACCCAGTAGTATATTGGGGCAGTGGGAATGGTTCTCTGCTAATGCCTAAGATCCCTTAACAGGGCAGAAGCCATAATTGGGCAAACCTTATGGGCCAAGAATCTTTTGCACTTTATCTGATTTAATCTGCACCCTGTGAGGTAGGTGGCATTACCCACTTTGGCGAGTTAGGAAATGTGTATAAAGATCAGTAACTTGCCCAGGGTCACCCAACTAGTAGCTAAAGTGGCTAAGTCCCAGGTCTGCCACTCTAACCACCCACAGTGGCCTGTACCTTACCGTGGCCATTCTCACCCTGCTGCCCCTCTGAAATAGTCACTGCTGGCTTCCCTAACTGAGGACACTGGACACAAAGGCTGGGCTGCCGGATTGCAAGTCTGTGCTTGCAGCCTGAGGCCTGCTCTAAGGGAAGGCACATGACCTGCCTCTCCTTTCTGCAAAACCCCTGCCACCTGCTGCATGCTGCCAGCCTGACTCACTGACTCCAGCTACCTCTGGGCCTCTGGCCCTTCTAGGATGGGCTTGTTTTCCAGGAAAGGGTTTGGAGATTAAGATAAGCCAGCCGCCTCCAGTTAAAGGCCCTGCTGCCTTTGAAAGGGCCGGGAAGCCTGCCAGTCCAGCTCCTTGGTTTGCTCGCTTCTCTCCGTGGCTGGGGCTGCTTCGCCTTTCATCTGTCCCTGCCTATCGTCGGGCATGAATACTGAGGCTCTTTGGAGACAGGCATAGGACTCCCTGCAGAGCGAGGCAAGGGATTTGTAAAACGGGTGCCCAAGCTCCCTCTGAGGGTCTGGCTCCCCCATGGCCCTGTCTGTTCTTCCTGGGGAAGCTGCTTCTGGCATTTAGGTAACGAAGAACTAGAAAAGAGAACTGGCCTCCTTTCAACCTGCCGCCTCCTCCAGCCTGGGTAGAATCCAAAGCTCTGGCCTTCCTGAGCAGTGCTTGTTCCTGACTTACACGTAGATGGTTTTCTAAACCAAGTTCATTTTCTGAACCAGAATGAATAACTCACTCTACTACCTCCTTCCCTTCATGGCAGAATTTTTTCTTTTGTCCGTGTTTTCATGGCTGCTGGATTCTAACATCAAGGTGCAAAATGCTTTGGGGCTTACTAAAGTCGTGTAGCCTTCCCAGGCCCTGTGGAAAGGTTAGGTGCACCCAAGATAACCAGGGTTGGTTATTTCCCGTGAGAGCCAGAGGGGTGCAGGCTGGAAGCATAGCGCTCCCTCCGCCCCCGCGCTGGTCATGTGGAGCGTGTGCTTTCTAAGAAGTGCCAGCTTGTGTCCAGAGCCGGCTGGGCAGATGTTAAGCCAGCTGTGGACTTAGTCACGGTGACTCTGCTACCAACAGCAGCAACGTGGACATTTAGGGAGGAGCAAATAAGAGAAGGAAGAAGCAGGCGAAGCAACAAGGCATGACATCTGATCTCTAGGCATTTCCAACGGAGGGATTTGGTTTGTTTATGTTTCCACCACCAAGAATTAACAGTGGTTAACAGCTGTTCATATCTGTCTGCTTTACCTTTTTAAATAAACATTACAGATAAAATTAAAGTTCTCTTTTTGTCCCTCACTCCCTGCCAAAGGCAACCACTATTCTCAAATCTGCTGGGTATTCCATTCAATTTTAAATACTTTTACATGTATGCATCCATGAACACCATGTAGTATGTTTTGTGTATTTTAAAACATCATATACATCTTAGCATCTTGTACATAGTACTCTGTGACTTTTACATTCAAAATTATGTTTTTTTGAAGGCTATGTTGATGTAGATTATTTAGGCATTTGTTTTCCTTTTTAATCACTTTATTGCTTCAGTACCTAGACAAATTTATACAACCAGGGCACAAACTGTAGATGGTTCGTATTTCCAGCTGGGAGGGAGGATTCGCTTGGTTTTATAGTATCGAGCCAGACGGTGAATCCAGCTCTCTCAGAATCAGACGGAATTTAGCAGCCTTATCCTTTCTGCTCCTCTCAAGATGCTTTTGAACAGCGACTGCTTTCTTAATTAAATGGTAGAGATCTTCAGGGAGATCAGGAGCAAGTCCCTTAGACTTAAGAATTCGTAAGATGTTATTGCCTGTTACAAAACGTACTTGTGCAGCACCGTGTGAATCTCTCAGGATCACACCGATTTGTGAAGGAGTCAGGCTCTTCTTGGCCAGTTTGTAAATCTGCTCCTTCACATCGTCAGATGTCAGCTTCAGCCAAGTAGGGATGCTGTGGTGATAGGGCAAGGCCAATTGGGACAGACCCTTCCTGGGCGCATGCTTGCAACCCCTGATGGCGGCAGTCGGGCAGTGAAAGCTTGTTTTTATTTTTTTATGGTAATTTTTTGGGTAAATGAAGTGTTGAATGTTGAATTTTTAAAATACTGATTGCTTTACATGCCATCCGCTTCGAAAGGAGTTGAATTCTGCTTCAGGCATGACATGGTAGCTGGTATCAAGCTGAACTCTTCCGCTGAGAACAACTAGAAAAGGTGGACAAAAGTTTCTTAAAAACAGCTGTTTGAAGACCTGGGAGAACAACCAAGACATTCTGACGTGGAATTGACTATTGTTCTTCCCCGGCTGCTGTTGCTACAGGTCATGGTGCTCGCAACCCTCCTTGGATGCTCAGATGGGTGAGAGAGGTGCTCACAAATGCCCTGCAGTTTTTTTTAAGACAAAAGATCACCTCCTTCAGTTTGAAACTGTAGTGGAATCCAGACAGTGGCGTCTTCGGGCACTGGGAAGGCTGGCAGGGGGACACTGGAGCAGAGCCAGGGCAGCAGGCTGGGAGCTATATTGTAGGGTGCTCAAATTCTACCAAGATTCTAAAATATCACAAGTGTAATTAGGGGTGCATTATTTAAAAAAATAGTCTAAAGGAAGTCAGTACCTTAAGAGCCTCACCGGGGAGCAGTAAGACCCCAAGGGCTGACTTGACCGATGGCACAGTGACTAAACTGCACTGTAAGGAGAGTGGACCCAGGCAGGTAGTGTCAGGGTGAGGTTTGGCTGAGCTGGGATGTCCAAGTTTGGGACCAGAGCTGACCAGGCCTAAACAGTAAAAGAGGAACACCAAAAACTGCCCCAGAGAACTTCTTTCTCCATTTTCACCCTAGAGCACTGTTTCTCCTTGTCCTTCCAGTATGGAGAAGAAATACTAAAGAATATTGATTGGAAAGAACACTGAATTCTCAGCCTGTTTTGGGGTGGCATTTTCAGCTTTCCTTGGGTGGCCACATGTCTAGTTTCAGGCTCACACAGACCAAGGTCTCACCAGCTCTCTCCCCTGTGGAACAGTGGTGGCATCTTCTGTGTGATGGTGAATTTTAGGTGTCAACTTGACTGGGCTAAGGGATGCCCAGATAGCTGGTATGGGATGGTGAATTTTAGGTGTCAACTTCACTGGGCTAAGGGATGCCCAGATAGCTGGTAAAGCATGAACTCTGGGTGTGTCTGTGAGGGTGTTTCCAGAAGAGATTAGTCTCTGAATTGGCAGACTGAGGAAAGCAGATGACCCTCCCCATGGTGAGCAGGCTCCATCCAATCTGCTGAGGGCCCTAACTGAACAAAACGGTGGGGGAATAGAGAATTCATTCTCTACTTAAGCTGAGACATCCATCTTCTCCCATTCTCAGACATCAGTGCTCCCTGCTCTCCAGCCTTCAAACTCTGAATGGGACTTACACAATCACTGCTTCCCGTCCCCCTGACACCCCCATTTTCAGGCCTTTGGGCTTGGACTGAATTATAGCTTGCAGATGGAAAATCATGAGACTTTTCCGCCTCTAACTGCATGAGCCAATTCCTATAATAAATCTCTCTCTCTCTCTCTCCACACACACACTCACACACCCATTGGTTCTATTCTCTGAGGATCCTTGATTAATACACTCATTCATCCCTTGAAATACCCACCTCTGGTGTGGAATTGACCATTGTTCTTCCCTGGCTGCTGTCGCTATGGGCATGGTGCTCGCAATCCTCCTTGGATGGTTGGATGGGTGAGAGGGGTGCTCATACATCCCTGGGCTAGCTGGGGCTAGTTGCCTTGTTCATTTTGCTATATTCCATTTGGACCCTTTATGACTGGAGTGTGTACTACACTTAGCAAACTTTTAAGTTCAACACAGTAGCTGGAATCCTTACATCCTGGGAGTAGCTCTTCCAACACTTCAGAACTAGAGGCGTGCATGGTGGTGTGTGTTCTTAGGTATACATTTCCTAGATGCACGTTCCTGAAATGGAGTAACACCTCAATTTGCCAAGAGGCCTCCCATGTGCTCCTGCTTGGCAGGTGGGGAGACTGAAAAGATTCATTACTTCCTTTATGTATTTATTTTTCTATATAGAATAAGGTAACTGTATTACCAAAAATTTGGAAAATAACCCCACCAGACTGATGCAACCATTATTTGCATTTTGGCTTATTTCTTTCCAGTCTTTTTTTCCTACACAATAACCTCACCAGACTGATGCAACCCTTATTTGCATTTTGGCTCATTTCTTTCCAGTCTTTTTTTCCTACACAGTTTTTAAGGCATAGGTACAACTGCAGTGTTTATATGATTTGTACATGTTTTTGTTGTCACTTAACATTATAAATATTAGATAATCTTGATCATTTTTTAAAACTGCTTTTTAAAAATACACTTAAAAATCACATCCCATTGAGTGTATCCTATCAGTTAATTATAATACTATTCCTATATTAACAGATGTTTAGGATTTGGAATTCTGCCTTCCTACATCACATACTGTTATATCTGTAGCTTTTTCATCTTTCAAATAATTTGCTTTGGCTAGATGACCAGAAAGAGAAGAGGAAAGAAAAAATCTTTAAGTCTCTATAAGAGTTCCTAATATGGTTTGGCTATGTGATCCAAATTTTATGTTGAATTGTAATTCAAAGTGTTGGGGGAGGCACCTGGTGGGAGGTGACTGGATTATGAGGGTAGATTCCCTTCATGCTGTTCTCGTGATAGTTCATTCTCACGAGATCTGATGGTTTAAAAGTGCGTGGCACTTCTCCCCTCACTCTCTTTCTCTCTCTTGTTGCCATGTGAAGATGTGCTTGCTTCACCTTTGCCTTCCACCATGATTGTAAGTTTTCTGAGGCTTCCCAGTCATGCTTCCTGTACAGCCTGCAGAACTGTGAGTCAATTAAACCTCCTTCATAAGTTACACAGTCTCAGGTAGTTCTTTATAGCAGTGTGAGAACTAATGTACTAATGTACTAATACAGTTCCCAAATTGATTTTCAGAAGGGTTTACTAGTTTGTTTAGACCCAAGCAATTACAAATGTGTCAGTTTCTCCCTTTCTCTCTCCCATCAGCTTTGATTATTAACCTCTCTCCCTGAGTAATAGATTAATCTTTCTTTCATCGGGGCAATTTTTTTTTTTATATTGTTAGTGAAGTTTCTTTTATGAATTGTCCTTTTGTGAGTCCTTTTAATTTTTTATCTATTGTCTAGTGTGGTTTTTGAGTAGCACATAAAAGAAATGCAGATAGTACAAGAGGGTAAAACAATGAAGAGTGAATCTTCCATTCTTGGCCCTCATTTCTCCAGGCTCTACCCAGAGGCAATCACTGTTTCTAGTTTATTTTGTTTCTTCTTCTTCTTGTACCTTTTTATCGGGAACTCCTGGATCCCTTGCCCTCTGGCTTCCCACTGCCTTTCAGCTTCTCTTTCTAGGGCACCCTACCCCCAGCTGCAGTGTCAGGCCTGGTGCATCTCTCTTCCCTAACAGGTCCACAGTGGTCAAATCTCTAAACATATGAACACTTACTGGGGGAGGTAGTGAGGATGGGAGCCAGTGGGGGAAGTGGCCTGGGAGGGAGATATTGCCAGGTAGATCTCATCTTCCTGAGATGGTAACAGGAGATTTGGACCAAAGGCTCAGGCTCTGTGAGGGACAGCATTTTGAACCAGGGACTGCGGAAGTGCAGTTTTCTTGGTTCTCAGGTGGGCTCTTTAAGGAGGAGACTGACAGGTGACGGAAGGCTTCACGGTCCTGATGTAATAGCTGAGGTGGACAGCAGGGGGAGCTGTTGGCCCCTTCTGGCCCAAATGTGGCACAGGAAAAGATCAGTGGCTCCTGTGATCCAGGGCCCTACTCATCAGCGGTGAAGTGCCAAAGAGGACTTTGGACAAACGAAGCTTTACCTTCCCGGTGTTTCCCGGGTAATCTGGTGCTCCTGTGTTACCCTTATGTGAACTGTCACAATATTTGCATCGCAACAAATTGAATTCCAACATTTATTGTGAGCTGCTATTTTGTGAGAGACCTATGTTATTCATGCATACCTTTCAAAGGGCAGTCACTGTGCACCTAGTTTGCACTGGCTTATGTTGAGATGAGTAAGGGTCAGTTCTGGACCCAACGGGATCAGAAATGTCCACTGAGAAAGGAAAAAACAAGGAATGGAATTTCAAGCACTAGAAAAGAGGTACAGATGAAGTATGGCGGAGGTTCATGACGGGAAGGAGTGTCATTGACTGGAGCAATCAGGGCAGGATTCATAGAGGAAATGGCATTTGAAAGGGCTTTAAAATGGGTGCAATATTTTAGAACGGTTTATTACGAAATTTTAATCTCCTAGAAAGGTGCATCTTTGTTGGAAAAAACAGAGGGAACACGGGGATGAAAGCTGGGCTCAGAGGATCAGTCAGTTGCATTAAAATCTTAAATAAATGAAGTGGAGAATTATTGGAAGTGAGACTGGAAAACACATTTGGATCCGTATTTTTGGAGAACCTTGAATACTACTCTTAGTAACAGGGAAGCAGTAGCTGCTTATAAGCAGGAGATTCCGGATAAAAAGTAGAGAAGTTGGGTTTTATGCCTTCTTGTCGTTTCTGAGAAGATGAGTAATTTTTAAAAAATAGCCAGTGAAATTTAGTTCCTATAAAAGGTGTGATCCTTGATCATCAATAAGGACAATCAGCTTCTCCCAATGGAGAAATCTCTCATGATCCATTTCACACATCCCTGGGTGCAAATTACTACCTAGTCCACACCAGTGCTTCTCAAACCCGAGTGTGCATCAGAATAACCTTGAGGGTTTGTGAAAACAGACTGCTGGGCCCACTCCCAGAGTCTCTAGGACAGCCAAGAAGTTTTTTTTTTTGAGACGGAGTCTCGCTCTGTCGCCCGGGCTGGAGTGCAGTGGCCGGATCTCAGCTCACCGCAAGCTCCACCTCCCGGGTTTACGCTGCCTCAGCCTCCGGAGTAGCTGGGACTACAGGCGCCCGCCTAGTTTTTTATATTTTTTTTAGTACAGACGGGGTTTCACCGTGTTAGCCAGGGTGGTCTCGATCTCCTGACCTCGTGATCCGCCCGTCTTGGCCTCCCAAAGTGCTGGGATTACAGGCTTGAGCCAACGCGCCCAGCCGCGACAACCAAGAATTTGATGCTGATGCTGCTGGTCTGGGGACCACACTGAGAACCTCTGGGTTTAAACATCCTACCTGACCTTTCTCAGTATATCCACTGGGTGGCAGCAGAGCGCACCACAGGCACTGCACGGAGGTCAGACCTGGAAAGCCCCGGCAGAGGCTGTGGAGGGCTGTTTCTGTGTGTTCAATGTAGGTCATCTTTGCTGCCAATGACAATACAAACCATCCACAATATCAAACTCTTCAAAATTCCAGGATGCATTGTATAAGAGGATGATTGATGACTTAGATCTTGTTCCTTTTCTAGGATGTCCTCACCCCAGACCCAGTCAGACCCTCTACCAGGCCCACCCAACAAGTCCCTCTTTTAAAAAGAGAATAGTTTTTAATACCTTTCAAGGTTACCTACAAAAGGGTTTCTGTCTGAGTAATGTCATGACTGTAAAGCTGGCAAGAAACTATATCGCCAGCTGATAGCTTGAGTCAAACTGGAAAATTACGAGCAAGTTTTTCCATGAACCAAGAGGAAGTGTCCAGTCATTGTTGAGAGCAGGTTCACAGCTGTGTACAAGCTCTAGGAGATGGGGAGGCCCATGCAGACCTACTTCCTTCCAGAAGGAAAGACAGAAGAAACACGTTTTGAGTTTGGGTTTTTAGGTAGTTGGGAAGGTTATATTATAGGATTAAAAAAAAATTTTTTTTGAGGGGGGGATTTGTTGATTTTTGTTTTTAAGTTCTGAGAGTTATTTTCTTTTCTCTTTTTTTTTCTTTTTTCTTTTTTTTGAGACAGAATTTCACTCTTGTTGCCCAGACTGAAGTGCAATGGCACGATCTTGGCTCACCGCAACCTCCATCCCCTAGGTTCAAGTGATTCTCCTGCCTCAGCCTCCTGAGTAGCTGGATTAGAGGCATGGGTCACCATGCCCGGCTAATTGTATATTTTTTAGTAGAGATGGGGTTTCTCCATGTTGGTCAGGCTGGTCTCGAACTCCTGACCTCAAGTGATCCACCCGCCTCAGCCTCCCGAAGTGCTAGGATTACAGACGTGAGCCAGCATGCCCAGCTCTGAGAGTTGTTTTCTACTAACCAACTATGTACTGCTAGATTTTGGAATAAAAGGTTTTACATGTTTGGGGAGGGGAGGAAGGAGCAGAGTCAAAAAGCCCCGAGCAATGATAGGATGGATTAGAGTTTGGAAAGGGAAACGTGGGGTCCAGAACACACTGGTTAGGCTGTGGCAAGGGGGTCCTCTTGACATCCTCTAACCAGATCTCATGGCACACTTCCCGCTGTGTCTCCGCAGAGACCAGCCCTGACCAGACCCAGTGCTGACATTAACCGGGTGCTACCATGAGCGAGATGGCATCCTGCCACGCCTGCTCCGTCATCTGGGAGATGCCTTGTCAGCAGCTCCAAGGCCTTCTGTGGGAAGGCATGAAAGTCTGTCCTCACGTCTCTGTTTCCCTTATGACCCAGCAGTGGCAGTTCAGCCCCCGCTCTCCTATGTTCCTGAATTCATCCCATCGTTTGTTGGCTCTGTTTGTGGTTTCTTCCTGTACTCTCTTTTGTAGATTTTTGTAGAATTTCAGAATTGACTGTGATATTAGACATGATCGTCTCTGCTCTGCCTGCTGGTGGGGATGTGTGGCCCTGACCCAGTCTCCCCACTTTCCTCATTGTGGCTCTATAGTCAAAAAGGCTGTTAGGCCCCTTCTACATTCTTTCTTCTCCAGGCTAACATCCTTTTCTTCTTTGAGTCCATTTTTAACATTGGTTGTGAGTTAACTCCTGACCCCTCCCCCTTTGTCTAGTCCATCCTGGTAACTCCCTGCCTTGCTCTGATAGTGAATGGTGCTCGTGGGAGCAGGACCTTCTGGCTGCCCCCAGGCAGGCCCGTGCCTCCCTCGAGACTTTGAGATTGTGATGTGTGTGTCTCTCATACCAGGGTGGGAGCCCCTTGAGGGAAAGAACCATGCCTTTCTCCCTTGGGATCCCCTGCACTCAGCATAGCCCCTCTCAGACAACAGGCATTTCGAATTCAGCAGAACATTATAATTCTGGGTCCTAGCCTTTATAAATGCAAGGCAAGACTAGATTATGTTAGCGGGTTTGTCAATATTCATTTGCGTCAGTCTTATTGCACAGAGGGGCAATTAAAACATTTTAAATGGGCTGTGCTTAAGCGTGGTCCCCCTCTCATATACTTCTATAGCAGGCTTTAAAACACTGCATCACCCTTAAAGATCTGCTTCTTGGATTTGGGCTGTTGAGGTCTTTTCCTTCTTCCACCTCATTCCCGCAACTTCTCAAGAAGTTGTCCACTTGCGCTGCTGACATGTTGTGAAAGTGCACAGGGACACGGCCCCAAGAGTGATCAGCTACCCCCACTGCCCATCAGTGGTTCAGTGAAGGACGGCATCCCTGCTTGGAATTTGACCATTCAGTCTGCCGGTTACCGAAACCATGTTCATGCTTCAGTGTAAAGGTTTAGCATAAAGGTTACCTCCTACGTGATGCTTCAAATCCAAACTGCTCCCTTCCCTGGGCTCCTGTGGTCTTTTGTTCTCTTGCAGTGCTTCCGGACTGTGGGTAGCTGATTATAGTTATTTTTTCCTACGTCATTAGGTGGTGAGCTTCTCCGAGACAAAGTCTGTCTCATTATTCATCTTTGTTTGTAGCAGGTGTCTGACAAATATTGATAGAATTAAAATAACTTTTGTTTGTCTCACGTTTTGATAAATGAACAGGGCTATATTTACCTAAACTTTTATGATTTCATACATGGACAGTGTATTTCCTCTTGGGCTTTTCTATTCCTAGACTGGATAGATTTAATGATTTTAGTTTTATGTCATAGGACACCCCTCCACCTGGAAGAATTGAAGTTCTATTAAGTTTAGGGGTTTCTGGTTGATTTGTAAATTGTTGAGAAAGAATCCACCTTGTTATGGTCAAAAGGTGACAAATACAGTTAACTTCAACAAAGGGCAGAGAGTCAACTATTCTTTCTGCCAGTGATTGCTTTTGTTGTATGCTTGAGATCAGGTACTAGTCATTTGTATCCCAGTTAACTTAATATAGATAGCATTTTCTAATATTTTCAAGCATTGCTCTAATGCTTTTTAATGCCTGTTTTGAACATCAAGCTTTTAAACTCATTATATATTATTCTATAATTTATAGAAAAATCACGCTTTACCTAATTCTTATAGGCAATATTTTTTTGGAACTTTTTAAAAAAGAATAGTATCCTCAGATTGGAATTATTGTGTCAAATAATATGAATGCTTTTTTGATTCAATTGGATTTTAAATTAATTTTTATACTTACTCAATTTATACTCACTGTTGAAAAATAGATAAGCAATTAATAATAAAGTCCCCCTTGGTTTCACTATTTAGAAATAACTACTAGAAATATTTTTATGTATATTTGTGTACGCTTTTTTCTCTACATGGATATTTATTTCACAAAATGTGGAATCTTACTGTTTATGCTATTACATAGCCTATTTTTAAAATTATTGTGAATTTTTTCAGGTGTAAAAAGATATTTTCTCAAAAAAATGTATTTTTTCAACACAGTTTTAACAATTGCACTGTATTCCATGGAATAATAATACCAATAGCTAACATTTATTTTGTGATTTTTATATACTATGCAATATTCTATTTGTTTTATGTACCCAAGCTCATTTAATCATCACAACCCTGTGAGATAGGCACTATTACTCTATTTTAGCAAAAAAAAAAAAAAAAATCATGCATAAATATTAAATAACTTGCCTAGATATGCGTGACCCAATAGACCACTGTAGAACATTTTATTTATTTTTTGTTTCCCATCATAAGAAATGTTGCTATTAATTCATGAAACAAATTTTCATTGAGCTCCCACCCTATGCTGGGTGTTCTGCTAGAAGCTTTATGTGTAAGGGAGAAACTGTTACAGAAAGTCGACTTGGCTGGGAAAGAGACCTATTTGAAAGGATCCTAGCGTGAGACGGGGTTTTCTGTCTTCTGTTTGCTCACATCACGGAGGGGAACTCCATACTGCAACAGCAGCACCTGGCTGGATGTGGTTTTGTCTCTTCCGTCAGCAGTGATATCTCCCGCCCCACTTCCTTGCTCTCTCAGGAAGGCCCCCTCCTGCTCCGCACACCTGCCAGGGTGTGGCCTGTGGAGTTGACCTTCTTCCTTCCTGAATCAGACAACGAAAGCCAGAGGCATAACTTCAGAGGCTGGTCCTGTACCTCTGGTTTTGTTCTGTGTTCTAAGAAGTTTTCATGAATAATGAAAATGCCTAGGAATGTTCATTGCCAGTTATGAAAGAAAAATAGAATTGGCTACTGTATGGTGTAATAGTCCCCAGGTATTCCACCCTTTCTGGCAGGCTATTTACTCATGTACTTTTAGTATACTGAGGGAAGGCTAAGAGATCTCTGGGCAGTAGGTAGGAAAGAATAAAAAGTCTTTTGAGTTTTCAGGTATTTTCTTTTAATAATAGCTTCTAGCCAGGCACGGCAACTCACGCCTGTAATCCCAGCACTTTGGGAGGCCAGGCAGGCGGATCACTTGAGGTCAGGAGTTTGAGACCAGCCTGACCAACATGGCAAAACCCCGTTTCTTCTAAAAATACAAAAATTAGCCGGGCGTGGTGGCATGCGTCTGTAATCCCAGCTACTCAGGAGGCTGAGGCAGGAATATTGCTTGAACCCAGGAGGCAGAGGTTGCAGTGAGCTGAGATCGCGCCATTGCACTCCAGGATGGTGAAAGCAAGACTGCATGCATCTCAACAACAACAAAAAACTTGTATTAAGATATAATTTACATACCATATTATTCACTCTTTTAAAGTGTAGAATACATGGGCTTTGAATACATTCACTGAGTTGTGTAACCATCACCACTGTTTAATTTCAGAACATTTTCATTACCCCAAAGAGAAACCCCATCCCCATTGTCGCCTCTCATTCCCCCCACCCCAACCCCCCCAGCTCCTGGCCACCACTAATCTGCTTTCTATCTCGATGAATTTGCCTATTATGGACGTTTCTTGTGAATGGAATCATATGTGGCCTTTTATGTCTGACTTCTTTCACTTAGCATGATGTTTTCAAGGTTCATCTATATTGTAGCATGGATCAGTGCTTAATTATTTTTTAAAGCTGAATAGTATTCCATTGTATAAATAGAACACAAACAAAACATACATTTTGTTTCTTCATCTATCAATTGATGGATATTTGTGTTGTTTCCACATCTTAGCTATTATGAAGAATGCCGCTGTGATCATTTGTATACAGGTTTTTGTTTGAACATGTGTTTTCAATACTCCTAGGTGTATTGCAGGCATAGAATTGCTGGGTGATAAGGAAACTTGACGTTTAACCTTTTGAGGAACTGTCAAATTGTTTTCCAAAGTGACTGTGTAACTTTGCAATCCCACCTGTCATGTATGAGGGCTTCTTGCGTTTTTAATTGCAGTTACCATGAAGTCTGTTAAAGCCAGGCACTCACAGCCACAGTGCACAATTCCAGAGTGCAGAGGAAGTTTTCGGCACACCTCTGACCCTCTTGGCAGGGATACCAGGCCTGCATGTCTTGTGACTGCACATGTTGTTTAGACAATGGTCTCTGTTTGGTGAGCCACAGTTTTCCTAATGATAGCCGAGTTTTATTGGCATTGCTGACCTATGAATCTGATGTCTTTGGTGCGGAGCCTCTATCACACTTTTACCCAGAATCCCATTGCTCTGGACCAATAATAACAACATTCCCTTTGTACGGGTCTTTGCAGTTTGCAAAGCACTGTGTTACTTCCCTTTTCCCCAGAGCCTTATGCTCTGCTTTCCAAGGTGTTGGCCTTAGTATAGCAATGTAACCACTGCTAAGGTGGTAATGGCCAATAAGATGTTGGCTTTTCCTCAAGAGACTCACTGAGTCCTATTATTTCCCTAGTATACATGTATCAGTAATGATGAAGATGTCAGATGCTGCCATAGAGCAAAATGACTTTTGAGGCTCCCTCAAATCTAGACTTAAAAGACTCCCCCTGTGTGTGCAGGCCACAAGCCTGGCATTGTTGTAGGAAATTAGTACTGTTTCAAAGCCAAAATATTTTTCTTTTTGAGATGCAGTCTCGCACTGTTGCCCAGGTTGGAGTGCAGTGGTGCGATCTTGGCTCACTGCAAGCTCTGCCTCCCAGGTTCACACCATTCTCCTGCCTCAGCCTCCTGAGTAGCTGGGACTGCAGCCGTCTGTCGCCACACTCGGCTAATTTTTTTTGTGTTTTTAGTAGAAACGGGGTTTCACTGTGTTAGCCAGGATGGTCTCGATCTTCTGACCTTGTGATTCACCAGCCTTGGCCTCCCAAAGTCCTAGGATTACAGGCGTGAGCCACCGTACCTGGCCCAAGCCAGAAGATTTTTCTATATCTTTCTTCTTATTCAAAGATCGTTTGTCAAAAAGCTAAGATTGATGGCAGGTTTTCAAGAAATTTTTCTTTTTGTTTATGCTAGTTTGTTTTCCTAAACAGTGAACATGGAATCGCTAAGTTTTTAAAAGAAGCAAAAAATTGATGGTAGACCCAGGAGTTAGAAGGCTCTGGGGTTACAGTTCTTCCACAAGGCAGTTGCTGTTTATGAGTGTTCTTTCTTGTCTGTAAACCCATTCTCTACGCCTGAGAGAACATTCCTTACAGCCATAACTCCTTAAAAAGGATAGCCTTTGCAAAAGACTCTTGTCAAATGTTTTTCATCATCTATAAATCACACACAACTGTTTCCCCTAATATTAGTATCAGTGTGTATGCCAGTTTCCTCTGAAAATATCAAGCATGATTGCTCCTTAGAGAAACCATGTTTCTACCTCTCCTCCTCACCAAAGTTGATCAATTCCCTAGCATTCTCTGTGTCAGCATTTTACTGTGTGTCAGCTCATCCTGAAAAAAAAAAAAAAAAAAAAAAAAGATACTAGATTATATGCATGAACCCCCTTCAAAATAACTCCCAGGAGAGCTGTGTGCTTTCTAAGCCTGAGCAGCTCAGAATTCTGGTTCATGAAGGTTTGTGGTCTAAGGGCTGGCTATTTCTTGTTTAAATTCAAATTTATTTCCCAGCTCCAGTGCAAATATACCCTGGCAATACTACCCTACACGACTTTCTGGTATAGTCCATCTGCCTGTTTCCTGTCCTATGTTATATCACTCATAGAAAATTCTAATATTCCAATGAGCAACCAGCCTGGAAAATAAAGCAATTCAAGTACCTGGGAATGATGGGCTTCCTTATTACCATTGCTCCATTTCCCTGTGATATTTATTCATCAGAGATGAAT